GATTTATCAATATCTCTTGTTTTGCTTGAAGTCTTTACTGTGTCAATACCTTTGCCAAGGCAAGTGCATCTAGAATAGTAACTGTTTAATTCCAACAAACGCTAGTAAAACAGCCAGTAGTCCAGTCACAAAAAAACATTCATTTTGTTTGACAAAAACATGTTTTGTCTTGGATAAAACATTTTGGCTAATATTAGGTAAATACCCAGTTTAATATTTAGCCAAATATCAATTATCAGCTAGAGTATGTCTTACTACCTGAAAGGAGGTTGTGGTGAGGTGGGTGTTGGTCTCTTCTCCCAAGCAACAAGTGATAGGACAAGAGGAAACAGCCTCAAATTGCTCCAGGGGAGGTTTAGGTTGGATATTAGGAAAAATTTCTTCACTGAAAGGGTGGTCAGACATTGGAACAAGCTCCCCAGAGAGGTGGTGGAGTCACCATCCCTGGAGGTGTTCAAAAACCACGTAGACATAGCACTTCAGGACATGGTCTAGTAGACATGGTGGTGGTGGGTTGATGGTTGGACTTGATGATCCTAGAGGTCTTTTTCAACCTTAAAGATTCTATGATTATACCTGCGTAGGTTTGGACAGTTTAGCATTGTCTTCCTGAGAAAAAGCAAGCCAGTACCTGTTCAATTTATTTAAGCAGGCCATGTTTAAAGATCCGGCAAGGGAACTGACTGAAGAACTCCTGTTGCTATCAGTGAGTTTTTTAATGAGATCTGTCATAGGGAAAAATAAAGTTTTCTTTCGACATTGTTCTTTGAAGGAAAGAAGATCTTATATGACATTGTTGCATTTGCCAAAGAAAGTGTCAACTCTCATGTTATCACACTGGGGCCTCAGAATTTTCCTGACAAAGAAAAGGAGCCATGGCTTGTGGATTTCTTTGCACCGGTAAATATTTAATATTTGTATTCCTCTTCTAAAATCTGTTATGTAACTATGTAACAACACACCAGCAGTATCTTGAAAATGTCTTTCAGCATCATGAGATGGTATTGTAATTTCTCATTCGTTGGCAGCACTAGCTCCTAGACTGTGTGGGTTTTGTATTTAGTGGAGTCTGTTGTCAAAGCAGCATATTACTAATCTCAGACAGCTTACGTTCTCCTGAGAGCCAACTGCGGGGAAAGCAATTGTGCTTACTTGCTTTTTTGTTTTCTAGTGGTGTCCTCCTTGTCGAGCTTTGTTACCAGAGCTGAGGAAAGCATCAAAACATCTTTATGGTCAGCTTAAATTTGGAACACTAGACTGTACTGTCCATGAAGGGCTCTGCAACATGGTAAGCTGCAGGAACTAAAAAAAAAAAAAAAAAAAAAAAAAAAAACCTATTATTTTCCTCTAGTTGGGGTAGAGGGATGGGGGCAGACAATAAACCAAACAGGACACTTGTATCATCATGTTTTTCAAAGGAGCAAACTATGTAACCACTACAGATAATATATTAATGCAGAATTCAGGTCACATTTTGCTCTGATTTCATAGTGTTATTGGAAGACTCTGGAAGTGTCAGAATTTAATAATTCCTGGGGATTTTTTAAGACAAAAAAAAGAATTGAAGCAGAACCAGAAAGCTTTTTCTAGTGTGTATATAAGTACATATGTGTATTCTTTTTGTTCTTCACAAAGGATGATAAAACCCAGTAAAACATTTAAAAATACAAGTTTTATATTGATATAACACTTTTTGAAAATGTCTGCAAAATCACTTCTAATTCAGTTCACCCTAACTGACTCTGCTTTTTGTTTTGTAGTGCTTAAGTGCAGGATCAATTTCAAAGTAAAAGTAATGTCAAAGAATACACTTCTTTAAAGATACAGTAGTGGAATGAAACAATGAATTACTGGCTGGTTTTTAAATTCAGAACAAATGATGCCATCTCTGAATACCATTGACATCTTTTCTGTAGTGATTTGTAATGGTTTCAAACTCCCATCTGCATGTGATCTGGGCAGTCGTACTGTACAAATTGGATAGATAGCAGCTGCGAGCTACCAATACCAATGGCAGTTAAAGGAAAGTACAAGAAACCTAATAATTCCTTGCAATGTCTTATTGTCTGTTTTGTTAGCATAACATTCGAGCTTATCCAACAACAGTTGTGTTCAATCAGTCTGACATTCATGAGTATGAAGGACATCACTCTGCTGAGCAGATCTTGGAGTTTATAGAGGTAGGTAAATCATAATCCTTGTTGCAGTCGTTCTCTGTATGTAGCTCATCCATAAACATGTTATTTAGTTGGAAGATCCTAAGATTATTTTTTAAAATTAATTAGAACAGTAAGATAAAGAGTGAAAATAAACCTTGGGCAAGGAAAGTGATTCAGCAACTGTCAGTCAGGGACTTGATACCTAATGGATGAATTTTCCTACTCTGTCAAGTAATTTCTTTGAGATCATTATCAAATAACTTAAGATCCCTTCCAATCTGCAAAGTAATAGTACTGATTTCTCTCTCATATAGATGATAAAGGAATTAAAAGTATGAAGTGCTGTAACAATGAAAATGCCTCATATACACGCCTTGACATAGGAGGAGGTTCACATTTTTTTGTCAATTAGCTTGCTGCCCTCCACACTTCTCAGCTGTTACGTGACCTTTCTTAACTCACAGAACTGCAAATAATTGGTATTCATCATTGTTGCTGCCAGAGTTCTAGCACCTGTCTTTCCTCCAGCATTCAGGTTCTCTCACTGCTAGGTCCACAGGCTATTTTCTACTCTTTGAAGAGACTGTTCATTCCCTCCAGGCAGCCCAGAAAAGGCAGGTTTAAAAGCACACATGCAGGAACAGGTGGAGATCAGGGGTTTTTTTCAGTCAAGATTCAGAGGCCCCTAGTGCATCATATGTATTCTTCTGTATCCCAGCCTAAAGAGCATGGCTGAGTTTCCTACTGCCTGTTCTTGCCAGGTAAGCTGAATTTCTTGACTTTTGCCTCCCTTTATGGAGAAGAGACAGAAAATGTCACTTTTGCAGCCTGGCTGTATTTTTTTGATAGCTCTTCTCAGGAAATCAGGCATGTGATTGTTAGGTTGAAGGGATAACTTGATGCTTCTGTGCCTTTCTGTCATGTGGCATCTTCCCTACCACAGTAGCAAGCAGATTTCACTGAAAGAGGGACGTTCTCAGAATTTGGTACAGTCTGTATGTGATGGTGCTATATACAGAATAACTTATTGTTGTAAAGTATATGTCTATAAACTGTCTTTACTTTAGGATCTTAGGAATCCATCAGTGGTCTCCCTAACACCAGAGACATTTGTTGAATTAGTTCAGAGAAGAAAACGAGAGGAAATCTGGATGGTTGACTTCTACGCTCCGTGGTGTGGACCGTGTCAGGCTTTAATGCCAGAATGGAAAAAAATGGCCAGGGTAAATGACATGTTTTTTTCTGCTTTTGTGTCCTGTTCTGTGGAATTATTATTGAGACGATACAACTGCTGTCAGAGAGATCTGTCAGCTGAGAAAGTCTAGTGATTAATATTGCAGGCAAAACAGGGAATTCTTACCTGACAGTTTTATATTGTTTCAAATACAAAGTTTTTCTTTTTCTTTAAAGGTTCAGTACACTGATACTGTAATCCAGTTTTCCCTCTTGATACAAGTGTGTTTTCCAAGATCTAAGAAACTTTAGTAATTAACTTTTCCTTGCTGCTTAGTGCTTTATATAGACAACAGCTCTTGCCATGCAAATCCAATACAATATGAAAAAAAGATTTATCCATAAATTAGATAAAAATTGGTTGAAATAATTTACCACTTTATTCTCAGTATTCTTTATGACCATTAGTCATCAGACTCGAATTTAAGATTAAAGGAGTACAATCTTATCCATCTTAATTATTTCCTACATTAGGGAGATTGTTTTTCTGAGATCTTATTTTCTTCACTGAAAGAAAATAAATGTTAAGTACCACTGATACTGCAACTGATAGCACATCTGCACTGTGCCTGGATCTGTCATAATTCATGAGCCTATGGTATGAAACGTGGTAATATGGTAATCCTTACGCTAAATAACCACACTCACATGTATCTTTGAAGCAGGGTGCCTCATGAGCCACGTGCATAATGGGAATGTACCTGGGTGGCTGGGTCCCATTAGATTAGACCCATTTACAGGAAAGGAGAAAGCCTTGTGATAATCTCAGTTTGTTTTGTTGGGTTTTTTTCTCCAACTAAGTGATTGAGACTTAAATTCTGAAGTATTACTGAAAGTGTAGGATTATTGATTAGCATATTTGAGTGTAGGTTCTTATCTTTTTTTCAGATGTTAAATGGATTAATCAGTGTAGGCAGTGTGGATTGTCAAAAATATTATTCTTTCTGTCATCAAGAAAGTGTTCGAGGATATCCTGAAATAAGACTCTTTCCTCAAAAATCAAACACAGCTCATCAATATTAGTAAGTAGTTTACTTCAATTTGGGAAATGTTAGATGGTGGGAACAAGATGAATATACATCTTCTGTTGTGTAGAAAAGGTTCATCACAGCTATTACAATAAGCTGTTATGTTACTGTCCTAGATATTGACTTTGTTACTTTAGTGCCATTTCATTTCAGTAATTTGAACTGAGACTGCCTCAGGAATCTTAATTTTTATTTCTTGTTCTTTATCAATTGCTAGTTTTCTAACTTTAAGTGCCTGTTAAAGTAGATTATTTAAATCTTATAATACAAAAATACTACTAGGCCTAACTGATTATAGCTTTAACAGAGTGATGTAGCCATCTGATCGTCCTCCCTGCCAACAGTCTGTTAGCACTATTGCAAAAAATTTCTGCTGTATATCTAGTCATCCCCTTCATTGTGTCATTAGTGTGGAAACATTAATCATTAACAAAAAAATTCTATGGGAAATGAAATCTGGCCAAATCCAAACAGCCTGTCCCCTCCATTTCATAGTACTGTTTGAAGATCCAGGCATTTCAGGAAGTAGGTGCATATTTCAAGATAGTTAACTGTCTGGAATAGCAGATATGTTGCTTTGTTATTTTACAAATTGGAAAGTTCTATTAAATGTTGCCAGATAATAAACTGTAATGCCTCTTCATTGTAGTGTGCAACAGCAGACTTCAGTAGCTTTCATCATTGGACTGCTTGCTTTTATTCAGTTCTTCTCAATAAAGTTTCTCTTAAAAGCAGAATTATTTTTTTCTTGTTGAAAACCACTAAGTTGGTGAATATGACTGTTAAGTGCCAAATTCCTAATCACAAGTCAGCAATTTCCTGCAAAAATATGGAAATTTGTCTCTTAAAATAAAGATCACCAAAAGCTATCAAGTCAGATTTTGACCAGGTAACTCTATTGAAAAATACTGTGTATAAAGTTGTAAACTAGTGGATATGAATCCTGAATTAATCTTTTTTCAAACCTGTCACTGGCATATTAAAACTAAGCAATGTCCTGAAAGGCTTCATCTTTTAGTCCTTAATTCTATATCTTTCAATTTTATTAATGGGACTTATTTATTCAGATTTGAAAGCAAGGTAGAAATATATCATAAAACATATGCATTTAAGTTCATTATTTCATAATCTCCACTCTACAGAGTGGTGTGGTAGGGAGTTTTTTTCCTCAAATGTAATTCAAACTACTGTGCAACTGGGTATTTTTTTTCCTCTTAATCTTTTTATAGTAGCTACAATGGATGGCACAGAGATTCATATTCACTGAGAGGCTGGGCATTGGGGTAAGAAACTACATCAAACTTTGTTCACAAGCTGCTTATATAGTTTGCTTGCTAGGAGAAATTAATATTTAAATGCTCTGCAAATCAAGAATTAGAAATAGGTATATGTATTGCTTAATTTAAGATGGTAAAATATGTGGAAGCTTTAACTCAAGCTTTTAAAATGTGGAGAAATAGCATACTCCATACTGTCCACCCATTTTCTGAAGACCATATAATTATTTTGTCTACTACTTTTAAAAAGTGATTCTTCTATAAAGGAGGGATTTCCAGACTATTAATATTCTTAATTTCAGAAATTTTTCTTGTGCTTTAATGGAACCTTGATGCATTTAAAGTTTTGAGTGGATTATGATTGTTATTCTTCCTTTCTACAGATACTTACCACAAGTGTCTGTAGACCTGACTCCTCAGAGTTTCACAGAAAAAGTTCTGAATGGAAAAGATCACTGGGTCATTGATTTTTATGCTCCTTGGTGTGGACCTTGTCAAAATTTTGCTCCTGAATTTGAGATCCTTGCAAGGGTAGGTTTTTAACCATATTAGTGGATGTTTATACTTTTAATGGTTAAAATATAATTCATCAGCACTTTATTTCTTAACAATCATCCAAAAATCGCATACCCCAGTGATCCTTCTCACTGCAAGTCCATACTTTTAGGTCCCACTTGTCAGTGGATATTGTCTTGCAGAGACCCACACACAGACCCTCTTATGAGACAGATGTCAGGGTGACCTTCAGAATTGTGATACGCTTTGCCCTGAATTCAAGTAGAAGTGCTCTGCAGAACATGTAGTGACTTCTGATACAAGGTTAACAGTCTGAGAAGCAAGCAAGTACTCTGAGGCATTAAAGGATTCAAGCAATGCTTTTCATTTACTTTAGCTGCACTGTTGGCTTATTCAAGTTATTTGCTTACAGTCACTCATGGAAACTTAAAGTTTGTTTCTAATAAACGTTTCTTTTTAGACTGTTAAAGGAAAAGTAAAAGCTGGAAAAGTAGACTGTCAGATGTATGCTCAGACCTGTCAAACCGCTGATATCAGAGCCTATCCTACTGTTAAGTTTTACCCCTACCAAGGAACAAAGGTAAAGTATCCTCTTTGTGTACGCTGGTGAGCGAGTACTGTTAGTAGATGTGGTTCATTGCACATTAAGACTTAAGAAACTATTTCTGTAATGCAGTAAAGTGCATAATTTAGATATTCTGGATATACAATAATAATAAACTTCAATAATATTTAAAATAGTAGGAAAATGATACAGTAATAATGTGTTATTGAAAAATGATAAATTGTAAATTAATAGAAGAATAACTGAAATGTGGGCTTAACTAGAACCAGGGTTTAATGTGACAAAATGTTTTTCAACCTTTACCAATTCTACCACCAGCTACCAAAAGCAGGCAAAGTCTCTCTCTAAATGAAATGTGGAACAACTTAACTTTGGTTAAGGAGAAATACTCTTTCAATGTAATCATAGCATTTCAGTATAATTTTGATTTAAATAATGTATTTTAAGATAGAAAATTGATTAAAAATATTTAGTTGTGTTATGTCTCAAAAGCAAACCTTATCAAACCATTTCAATTATTATTGTGACTCTGAGATCAGTATTTCCTACTAACAGGTAAGTAGTAATAAATTAAAATATGGAAAAGTATCCAGATAGTTGTAGGAAATTGCCTTTATTCTTGTAAAACTATTAAATTCCAAGTCTTTTTAGATGTATTAATGCTAAAGAGAAAGTATTCAGTGCATTCTGATAGTTAAACTAATTCTTTTAATTATCCTTTCCATTTAAGTGAATCTCTTACAGGACGTTCTAGAGATCCTTCCTTACACAATCCTATCAAATTCAGTGAGAGTTTTTTGTGGTAAAGAATAATGGCTTTTCAGGCCTCAAAAGTAGCAACCCACACTGACAGATTTCACGAGCATAGATTATGAAGTGGCAGACTTTGTAATGGCTGTCTACATTAAATACCTAATTGAATGAATGTGAGAATATTATAAATATTTCAGGTTTCTTTAAGGATCAAGACAAAATTTGTATAGTTTTGAAAACTCGCAGCTAAGAGTGGTTCTTGCTATAAAGACAACTGGCATTGTTTAAATGGAGACAAAAATACATCTGAATCATAAATCAACCTACCAGAGCCATTGTCTTCCTCCCTGTATTCATCCTGAATTTTATCTGAAAGTAAGCAGATTTTCTATTCAGTGTAGAGCATGGGTAACATGTTGCACTTTTTTTTTTTTTAGAAAAATGTTCTTGGCGAATATATAGACAGCAGAGATGCAAAAGGTATTGCTGACCTTTTGAATGAAAAATTAGAAGCAATTCAAAATAAAGGAAAAAGAAAAAAATCTAGAAATAAGGTAAGAATATTTACTGTGGGCCCTTTTGCAAAACACTTATAGTAAAGAATACTATATCTTAGTATTTACTCTTTGTCTATGAAATATTAAATTACCATATCTTCAAATAGTACCAGGTACATTTAATTTCCAGTCTTGTTTTGGTTACTATTATTTGGTTATTATTATTCAGTTACTATTATTTATTCAACCTCAGTTCTCCATGTCCACAGATGTAGCAAAGAATACTGCAGTTGCAACATCAGTTATGGCAAGACTTAGCAGAATTTACAGATATCCATGGGACAGCTGTGTTAAAGATAAATGGTTGAGAAGCACTGTATCCTTACATGTAATCCTTAGAACAGGCTTAGTAAGCAGGCACCAAATTACAGAGACTGATTAGTGCAAGATTGGGATTAACATTTTAACTCAGAAGATATTAATACACAGCTGTTAAGAAGTACCTTGAATTCTATTTAAGAAACATTTGTTCAGGCAGAAAATTAGTACCACAGAGAAATTTTAAATCACAGAAACACACCCCCACACCCCCCCAGTAATCTTGATTATTTTTATTATTTGTACTTTAGAAGAACTTAATTGTTTGTTTTCTTGTCACTAGGATGAACTGTAATTGGTACTGGAGGTAGATCCGATACAAAATATTCTGAAGCTGTGAATATAGAAGACACCACGAGGGAAATATAAGGCTGATTACCTTTCATGACAGGACAAAAAAGATGAAAACCAGTTTGAATTCACAGGCATATATGACTGTATGAATTCTCTTTAAACTGTGGGGAGATGAAAGCATTTTGGTTTTGGTGGAGGTATTCAGTGTTTCTGCAAGTGAATTCTGCATGTCCCTCTTCTGATACACCAACTACGTTCTTCCTAGTCAAACATTGGCATTGACCAGAAATGTAGACTGTATCCCTTTGCCTACCCAGTTACTAGTTCCTTATACTTTTCTGTCTCTTTTCAAACACTTTTGGAATGTGGCACTCAGCCTGTGGCTGAATATGCACTCAAACCAACCACTCTGCAATGCAGAAACACAATGAGGGATTGTCTGTTTGAAAGACAGAGTTTTATCTGATGATTATTCTGCTTTGGGGTTGCATTATTGTCTAGTCAATTGGTAAGAAATAAAATCAAGAACTGATAGCAGGATAGGTTTATTGAATTACGTTGCTCCTGCCCTCGAGTGGATTACAATATTGTGGCACTGGTGGCGGTGCCTGGATGAACAGAACTTTGAAGAGCTTTTGTTGGGTTTTTTATTTTCTTTTTCAAATAATTAAAAAAAAAAATCAAGGACTTCAAACTCAGTGTTTCAATGACTTTCAACTTTAAGTTATGTCATAGAAGCATCTGCTTAAGTTACTAGGTCATAACTTCATTATTGTCTTTTTAAATATGAATGTATTCTGTGAACATATTTAACCTCTTTTGGTATTACCACTTTCCCTTTCTCTGCGGACATGTTTTGGGGTTTTTGTTTGTTTTTATATAATCTTTAGGCAAGCAGGATAGCAAGTGCCTTTTTTAATTTAATAATGAACACTGTAAATTGCAATGTCTCCTCATACATCTTCATATAATTCCCACTCTTTTGAGTAATATTTTTCATAGCTTCTCAATAGACAAAAAATTACAGAAGACAACAAAATGTCTGCTGTGTTTGAGTTCAACATTGAAATATTTGATGTTTTCAATAAAATGCTGCTGAGAACTTGTCAGATGGACTTTCCTCCCTGCTTTCCATGTATTTAGATTTGGTATGACTAGTCACTGTAGTGTGAGTATTATAAATTTGTAAGTATGTTATCTACAAGTAATTTATTTTATAAAGAAGGCAGCAAGAAATAAAAGGAGAATTCTAGTAACTTTAAGGCATTCAAATGCTTCTTCCTCTACATTCAGGGTTGCCTCTCTTCCTTTGTGGTTTTGCAGTGTATTAATCTGAGAAAGAAGAGCATGTATTGCATCTATTTTTTAATAAATTAGATCTTCCCACATCCAAATCAAACTTCAAACTCAATCACAGTAAAAAATGAAAATGTTGGTATTTTGTGACTTAATACAAACTCCATTTTGCTTAGTTATTACATGTATGTTTAACTATAGCTTCAGTTCCCATCTCCTACCTTCTTCCTGGAGAATGAGGTCATGGTTGCATACTGTAGGATCCTGCTGTTAAAAATCTAATCAAAATATGACCTAGTATAGTTTCTTCTTTATTCCTGTTAATGTATGGTATTTCTGCTAACAAGAACAGACTAGTAGGGGAAAAAAAAACAAACATGCTTCACAGGCGTTTCCTCCATAAGCTGATGGTAACATAAAAGCTTCATACTTGAGCTTTTTGTAGAGTTACTTCATTGCTTCCTTCTGGTTTCATTGCTTGAAGCATATACATAACTAGTAAGAAAAGACAACACTCTTACCCTCATCAAAATATCCTCTACACTGACTTAATTTGTCCAGGCTACTGGTTTTGAAACTCATCTAGGCTGTGGGGAAGAGGGTTTAGTTTAAGTAGGGAAGAGGATTTAGTTTAAATACCAATAAAATTCACTTTTAAAATTTAATTCTGTATTGTGATACTGTCTTTGCATCCAGTTTTTTAAATTTTTAAGCTAGAGACTAAATGGATCTGTATGGGGAAAAAAACGATCTTCAGAACACAGAGAGCATGTGCTGCAGATGCTGTAGGTTTCTAAGAAGGTTTTCCAAGTTTTCACAGGTTTTGTTTGCCAGCTGCCCTTTCTGACAGTTTTCAATAAGCAGCTTGAGGGAAACAGTGCGTAATAAAATCTTGCCTTTGTTCCTAGCCATACAAGTAAATAAAGAAAACCTTTTATACCTAGTTGTATCTCCAACCTTCTCTAAGGACAAATTCACATAATTATGTGATCCAACTTTTACTAATCAAGGGTTTAAACTTCAAGACACTTATTTAAAAAATAGTGCTGTTCCAGATTTGTCTTGAAGTAGCTAAGTCCCTCAGTTTTCTCGTGCAGAATCATGGAGGTATCAGCATCACCTCATACTTCAGATATCAAATTATAAACAAAAAACCACCCCACCACCAAACCACAAAATCCAGTGAGAATAATAAAAAAATTCTCAAAATGCAATGAAGAATTGTATTAGTCAACAAATATTTTGGAATATACTCCCCTACCCCCAATGCCAAACAGAGTTCAAAATAAGTTTGTCAGATTTTAGTAACTGTTTTGATACTTAATGTTATAGTTTCATTTTTTAAAAGAAAAACTTTCAAATTCACATATCCAAGCAATAAACCAAGTGGAAGATGAATCCAAAACAGTACATGAATGAATGCTCCAATTTTAAATAATGTGCTACCAGTCCCCTTCCGCCCAAAGGAAATTTCAATTTTACTCTCATTGTATAACCAAGATGACGCCACTTCTCCCTGTAGCTACCCGTAGACAGTGTTTATTATCCCTTGTTCTTCACTCCTTTCCTAGCACCGCTCTCTAGTGTGACTGTTCAACTGGGTGGACAAGTGTGATGACCTGTGGGTTTTGACAGAATACCACAAACATCTCAATCAAGTTAAAGCAGGGCACGAGCACTCTCCCAGCCTCTGTTGCTTAGGACTTGCCAGGGTATTAAGTTAGTGTTGACAGCTTTGCCAAATTTCTCAAATTACAAGCAGCAGACCATGAGGCTGGCCGCCTACCTTTTCCTTCTCGTGTAACTACACATGCACAAAGAAAGGGCAACATATAATAAAACATAAAATATGCGTACACTGTGCCAGGGCCTAACCATCCCTGGCATCCTATTTTGCTTTAATTAAAAGAAGGACTTCTGTGGCTGTTTAGCGTCACTGAACTGATTAGCTCTCATGCCTTGCGCTAAAACAACAAAGATCCAAAGACACATTTGGCTCCTTTCACTTCTACTGATGCTAAAAGGCATAAAAAAGGAGGGAATATAGCAAAAGTTTCAAGCAACGTATTGGTTTTATATGGTCTGCAGTTGGAAACATCGTGTTTTGATCAAACTTGGCAAGTCTGATTTTTTTCCATTCATGGGTATGCTTCAGGTTTTATTAGTTGTGAAAGTTCAATATATTTTTACCAGTTTATAAAAAAAAAAGATTTAAAATGTTTTAATATTTCAACAGGAATGCACAAAGAGAACTTATTTAATTTACTGAAACTTTGCATCTGAAAACAGTGGCGTTCCAACTCCAAATGCTTTCAACCTTGGTCTTCTCTCTATGCTAGAATTCATTACTCATTTTTTTTCTTCCATCTATATGTAAGCCACCACACTTTGGATAACAAACAGCTAAAGATAAATCATCAACATGATATTAAGTGCTTACCCCCAACATTAAACAGACTCCTCCTTGTACTGCTGATTTTCTAAGCTCTAATAGACTTCTCTGTGTTACTAGCTGCCAACAGAAATTAACTACAGTTAGTTGGGCATAAAGAAGAATGTTCCCAAATGAACGTATACGATCAGTGTCCACAGACTATTTCTTGACTAAGACTACAGGAGTCATGTCTGTTAACATTTGGCATTTATTCTTCACAAGGCAACACATCTTGTAAGAAAACATCTACCTTACTTAAATGTCAGTGTTTCAAAAAACATTCCAGACCTGAATTAAGTAGGGGTTGGGGCTTTTTTTAAGAATATGATGCACCGTAAAAGTGAGTTCTGGTGAATTTTTACTATGTAACTGAGCTGGAATGGGAAATACTGCCTTACCAGTGGTCTCTGCTTTCTAGGGCTTAAAGGGACAGAAAGCAGAATATTGTTTTTCCATAAGGCAGCTCAAACTTACATGAAGAAGTAGATATAATTTCTGCATATTATAGGCTACCATGGAGTCAACTAAAGAATGACTTTTCCATCCTTGTTAAGTACCAGACATGTTAACAAGAACACACTTTAGCCAGAATTGATTACAGATCCTTTCAGCCATTAGCAATTCAAGCAGCTGATCTGGAGTTTTCAGAAAATCATTTTCTCCCTGTAGTATATGTTTCAGGTAGTCTTTAAAATTCTGGTAGAAAAACCAAACATTTTCTTCTTCTTGTTATGTGCATATATGTACATTAAACAATCCCAGTTGTGCCATCCTAGATATACAACTTTTTCATCAGGTAGCTAATTTACTTTTGTTATGTCTAACAATCTCAGCTCATTCAGTAACAGTACCCTGGACGTGGGCTTCTATGTGTTTCATTTTTGCTCAGGCTGCATAAGAAAAGCATCCTATGTAAACACTGGAGAACAGTTACTATATTCCCATCCTGTCTCTGCAACTGCAATTCAAAGCTTTCTTTTCAGTAATTAGGTTCACTTACTTTATTGTCCTACCTTTGGTCACTGAATCATTGTGTCTTGAATGACTTCATTATTCCAATTACATACTAGAGTGAGTGAACTGTGTTTATAATGCACAATTTCTCTGTTCAGGTTTGAGGCTGGAACAGCATGCCAGAAGTACCTGTATGCCTGGCCAGCCCCTAGAGCCGAGAAGTGCCAGTTGAAGTTCTGGCAGTACCTCCTATTCTGCTTTGTTTAACCTGAAAAGCTTCAGAAGCCACTAAGTACTCTGACAAATGATACTGGTCGTATTTGCCATTTTAAGACCCGTTATAGAATTCAATGTGGACATCAGTATTTTAATCATTAATTGTCTTTGCATCTGTAACTCAGGGTGGCATTACTACCTTGGTTCACTGCTCGCTCTCAGGTTTAAACAGTACGGTGTAAGTATTCCCTCGCAGGGATCGATACTGGAGCAGCGTACCAGGTCAGTGATCCCAGCCTTCGGTTTCTGCAAAGGTCGGCAGGGACTCCAGAAGTATGTGCTGGCTCCTCAGCTGCATCAAATACCCACTCAGTCTTACAGTTCAACAGAGAAGCAGGGCTGAGTGAAGAGCAGGAAACAGTTAAACTGCCTAATTTTTTTCTGGAGGTACCTTTAGTAAAAGCAGCTTTAGTCATTAAATTGCCTTTGATTCAATCCTTAATATATGCTGTCATTTGCTGTCTATTCTGTACACATAACTAAGAGTCCCTACAGAAACCAGATATGAAAATATTTATCATTAATTTGGTTTCTAGGGCCACTA